TCCAGTGAGACAGGAGTTATGTATTTCCGGCCGGACAAACACACACACAAACACACCAACACACACTGAGCGGATTATATGAGTAGAATAATCATAAGAAAGGATTCGCATGCAATCATGGAAATAATGTTGTCCACAGTTGAGAACACACATAGGCATCATTCGGGATCTCGATTGAGTAGTCAGTTTGGCACTCATTTAAAAGTTTGAGTGCCTGTGAGCTCAACAAGAACGGGATCATCAAAAGATCCGAAGATCCTAAGCAAAGTATAAATTCCTGATAACGGAGTTGATGGTGGGGAGTACAATGGAGCAGGCAAGGCAAGTCAACTGATTGTCAACAAGCTACGGTAAATTTGTAGTGGGGGGGGGGGGGGGGGGGGGGGGGGGGGGTGGTGGAGGAGTGGAGGGGAAGGGGAAGGGGAAGTGGGCATGTGACACTCTTGGTATAAAAAGGAATTAACACGGAGTTACGTGTATCCGTGTCATAGCAAGGATATGCAATTTAGTCCAAACCCCAGGAGGTGAAAAGCGCACAGGGTAATGGCAGTGGGCCAGCTTCCTGTTTTCGTGTTGAGGTAATTTGCTCTCACCCCAGTGATCCAACGCCTTCGGCATAACAGAGGCTCGTTGTAGGTGTGGTTGTGGTTCCTCTTTGTCAACTGCATTTTCGCCGAAACACCATTCTACCGAAGAAGAGGAAATGGGAATAAACAGAACAATTGTAATTCAATATGTGATGACGCTCTCATTCATAACACAAAAGAAGTTCAAAAAAGATTAGCGGGTGAACAACGCTTACGCTACAAATCGAAATTAATCGATTGATCGAAACTAACGAGGGTGATAAGACACCATCATTATCCTCTGAGCTTATTACGAACTGTTACTGGCTTAGTTTGTGGTGGGTTTTCCATAACATTATCTTTGTACACAGTTATGGAGCTTCGCTGACGGGCAGCCCCGCAGACATGCCGACAAAGCGACACACCGAGTTGCTACTTCATAATAGGAACCATTCTCGGTCCTTCGGTTTTAAAATACTACGCTTGCTCTCTAAGGCCCTTATCAGCCCCTATTGATTGTTATCACGTTCTATCACTGCCATCTATGTCCCATTTTGTCACCCTTATCCCCTCCAAGCTTGAACTATCAAGGCCAAGAAAACATTTCGCTTAAACCCACATGCAGCGAAAACGCCGAGCCAACAGCAGCCGCAAGCTCCTGCCGTTAACGAAGAGAGCTGTGAATTGAAAGCTTAATTACGTGGCTCTCCGTTACACACACTGGGGAAATCTGAAGGTAATACCAGACCATCTGATCTCGGATGTTGTTTGCCGACGGATGATTGTAATGGGGCGCTTGTATTGTAATGGGGGATGTGTGTAACAAAATGGTGAACGGACCTTATATCAATAAATCCTTCGCTAAAAACAATTCGATAAAAACGGGTGTCTGTGTGGGTGGGGTATGTGTGGTGGTGCGTGGAGGTCGATGTGTGTGTGTATTTGAGCAAATTTTCCCAGCTCTGATCCACTTAGTTGGGAAGTTCAGATTAAGAACGATAGAACTGAAGGTTGGAAACACTGAAGATACGAAAATAACGCAAAATTAATAAGAGCCGTTACTTAGTTACTTTTGATGGTCTACTGGGTGTAGGAGTTCTCAGCGAAGACCACAGCTATTCCATACCTCCCGACGCGACTTGCTGCGTGCGTTTTCGATAATACATTTCGGAAACGAGTTGACCCACTGAGCTGGCTGAGGTCCCATCATTTTCCGTTTGTTTCTTAGAGACCACTCAGTGATTCGAAGATCTAACCTGTATCCTTACGGCGATGACCGGTGCTGTGAAAGCGCATGTGTTGGATCATGTCCTCTAAACGCAAAGCCTCGTTCACCTCTAAGGTTTGCAAGCTTCGGACTGCTGAGGTTTGATGTTCTTCAGAAAAGATCTTACTAATGCATGATGAGTTCTTTATGCGACTATCTCGTTGTCAGCCGTTGTTTCAGCCGCGTAACACATCGCTGGCAATACTGAGGGGCTGCTGGATTGGTCTGTTCATTCACGATTGAATCGAAAGCTTCCGCGATTTAGTTCGGTATCGTTAGTCAACACTCTTCCTCTATTCTCTTTGATTCCCAGATACACGTTGGATTGCACTCTTTGTGGAGCTTCCCTCTTACCATTACAGTTCCCGTTTCACACCGTTTCTTCACTATCACAGCGCTTTGGAAATATTCATCCTAAAGCCTACCCGTAAGCCTACTGTATTGAGCAGTTCATCATGTCTCCTATTTCGACACTGCTGTTGAATATCAAAACGATATCAGCAGCGAAGCGGGAACAACTAACGTTTTTACCTCTTCACATTCAAAGTTTAATGTCGCAATCAGTAACGCAGCTTTGAATGCTTGATAGATATCATGTTCACTAGCATTCTTTTTTTCTAAAAGCACTTTGTATGTAATTTTAGATGAATGTTGATGTGTTTGAAAGAGAAGATGTAGGAGAAGCCATCCCTGCTTGCGCAAAAGCTTTAACAGCCCTAGCCTCCACAGAATCGAATGCCTCTTCACAATTTTTCGAATAAAAGGACTTAATGAAGCTGATGCACTCGGCTTCTTCTATTTAGTTGTGTAATTGTTCCAGTATGATAGGAGCTAATGAGGTGCCTAAAAAGGCAGTAGGAGACAGGAGACAGGAGACAGTAGCGCATGAGCCATGTTGCCTTTCAGCCATTGTGTGGACATTGGCTGCTTTCATAGTCCGCCGGCGTGCCGGCGTGCCGGCGCGCGTGCCGGCGGAGGCAGTGCTAGGGGGGAGGAGGGTGGCAGACAGTTAGGCAAACAGTACACGCCCCTTCGAGGGGTTGAAAACAAACAACCTTCGAAGAGGCGTGGACTGTTCGCCTTACACTGTCTGCCTCCCTCCTCCCCCCTAGCACTGCCTC